TAATAATAAATAATAATAATAATAATAATAATAATAATAATAATAATAATAATAATAATAATAATAATAATAATAACTGAATAATAAATACTTTTTTCATAAAATTTCTTTTAATAATTTATTATATTCCTTGAATTTCTGAAGTTAATTAGAAAAATTTATTTTATTAATTTTTTTATTAATAATTAAATTTTCTTAATATTAATTTATATTAATATACTAAAAAAATTTCTTGAAAGTTAGTTCAAGTTCTAAAATAATTAGAATTGATGCTCGAGTAATTTTGAATAACTTGAATAAAAATTTATTAATAATTTAATTATATAGATATTTGAATAATATTTTTAAATTAATCTAAAGTTAATTTTAAAAATAATAATAGACTTATAATATTTATATTAGAATTAATAATTTACTTTTCTTTAATTAAAAAATTTATACAATTATTAATTTATTAATTATAATTTTATATTTTAATTTAATTTAATTTATATATTCAGATTTTTTTATTATTATATATATAAATAGAATTAAAGTTTTTGAATATTTATTAAAATTATTTTATTTTTGATAATAAATTTATTAAAAAAAAATAATTATTAAAAGATAAAGTAAAAATATAAAAATAAAGAAAATAAATTTAAAAAAATAATTTATATCTTATAATTATTGATTTATAATAATTAGATATAAAATTATAATAATATAAAAATTATAATAATCAAATATATACATTAATATTATAATTAAATCAAGCAGTGACAATTGCCTCGTTGAACTACGTTCTCTGGAACTCCAGCCAAGGTAGCATAATAAGTACCCCAAGATGCTGTACTTCTTCCTGGAAACAGGTTTAATTGTTTCATTATAAATACATTCATGTAATTGATAGAAATACGATAACGTCTAAATTTCGATGAAAGAAATCGAATAACTAGCGATACAAGAATGAGATTTCTTCGTCTTGCTCATTTTAATGTCGCAAAAGAAATAGGCAGATCAGGAGGCATTAAATTGTTCTCAATATTTCTAACCAAATTATTTCAAAAATTTTATTTAAAAATCTTATATTTATGAACCAGCAGAAATAAAATATTAATTTACCATGAAAATGTGTTACAGCAATCACTTTGGGACATTTTAGCCCTCGATTGATTAAATGTTCAATCACTCCACAAAATAATACAGCGCCATCTTTTTTAAAATTTATATATTATTTTTCAAATATAAGCAATGATCGTTCCGTAGAACTACAAAAAGCAATTAATATTTGCTGAAGATCGATCATGAATGCACTTGAATTTAGAATTTAAGCGAAAAATATATTTCTTTGAATATGATCCAAGAAAACAAAAATATTTTTTTGAGGCCAAAACTGAAAAAATTGACCTTTGAGATAGTTTCACGCGTTTGTATTCGCGTAAATATCTTGTCTGTAAGCCCGATAAAAGCAGACTCCGTTGGAACAAAGCTATAAAAAACACAAAAAACAATATTCGAGATAAAAAATATTCCAGTCACAAATTCTGATTTAAAATATATTCTCACCTTCCTATATGTGGATAAACACAATCACAGCAACTTGTTTCAAATAAAAACATTTTCCGGAATAATTTGCGCCACTTGGAGCATAACACTTTTTGGATTCTCTTTATAATTTCGTCCTTAAATCATTATAGGCATTGTCAATTTCTTTTTCCAAAGCCCCTCTGGTCTGTTTTCGGATAACATGAGGATACCTATAACATAGTCCTTTAATCACATTCAACAAAATTATTCACGATTTTGCTCGTCAATATTGTATCTTGCAGAATATAAGCAACATCCCCGTATTTTTATTTCAATAACTTTCGATGATCAATTAAAATTAATTTCAAAAAAACAGCTAAACAAATATTTTTTTAAAGTTCAAAAAAAAGTTAAAAAACCAATCCGGATATGTTACTTATATTTCGCAAAATACGGCATACATTATTATAATGGCTCAGAAAAAAACCACGTCAAAACCTTGCAATTATCCATCAGAACCACAATTATGATATAAGATTCAAATCAACCTTGAGCACGTACTGCTCTACCCGATGTTTTTACCCAACGTTTGGCTGCAGGGCCATCTGCTCTGAGATACGGGGAAACGTCAACATGGAGTTTGATTTTTTACCTAACACTGGTCGAACAGGGTAATTTTCACCTTGGGTAAAATCATACATGGAATTACTTATATCTTGTGATTTGATTGGTTTATAGAAAGATGTACAAAAAAAGGATTTAATGATTACATCATAATGCCACATCATCATAGTACAGGCTTGAATTATCGTAATGCTGATTTATTATCCCGATCATTTAATTGGCGGACCAAAGAATCCCACAATTTTGTAAATTAGATTTTGTTTATGTATTTATATATCAAAAAGTGAGAAGTAGAATTAACATTCATGACACAGCAGTGCTTGGGTGAAGTGTGTTCAGTGATCAGCGTGTAGGCTATACATATGCAATTGATGATCATGTTGTTTCAGTGGGTTAGCTTACTATGGGTATAGTTTGTTATATCAACGATCAGCATGTATGGTTGCATATGTATAGTTGACGATCGCGTTGTTTCCACACCCGTGTAGCTTACCTGCATGTGCAGCGGTTTGCACAGTTCATTCCTTCATCCTTGAGAGTCTCTGTCATTTTGCCGACCCGTTCAACTCTCGATTATTTATTTTGCGTTTGCTAAATTATCATCATTCACGAAGAAACATACATATATTCTTTATTCTTTATTTAATAAACAAGTAAATATTTTAATTTTTTTGCATAAACATCTGGAAAACTTAGCTCACATCATTTCGCTCCGAATCTCCGTTAATTTGACTTTGATCAAATACTTCATATAAATCCAGTATTGAGTTGAGAATGGGTATTGAAGAAAAAGTTATTATTTTTTTTGCACAAATCAACACAGTATTCTGCATATTTAGATGCCCAACTAATTTTTATAATGTATTATATCTCTGTCTTAGAGACACGAAGTCGCTTTTGTAGTAATTCGAAAAAAGCTGCTATTCGTTATTCACGTGGATTCTCAATCCAGTGGTTGAGCGAAAAAGTCTAGACAGACCAATACATATTTTATCGCTCTTTTTACGATCTTTTAAACTTTCGAAAAAAGAAATAACTAAAATGATTTTGGATATGAATCATATTCTTATTTCTATCGGACGAGCAATCTGTTGATTAGTTAAATTGAAGTAAAGAATATTAATGAAAACAAATTTTGACGATGTTATTACAGGGCAAACAAATTATTCTGTCAAGTTTAAAACAATTTGCGAAATAAGTCAACTTTCAATAATTATATAAATCTCTCGATTTTAGTATGTCCTTTTATTCTGAATTGCATTTTATTTGAGTATGAAATACAAAACTCTTACGTTAGCGATAAAAGAACTCGACTTTTGTTCATTTTTTAATTTTGGAAATGAGCTTTGTCTTATCTTCCTTAAACAGGCAAATATTGGTAACAAAATTTAAGCAATTTCTATCATAATATATATCTACCAAGGGAAGTTATGATCATATCAATTAAACTGCAGAAAAAAACCATTATTAACATTTACCACATGTATAATTATAATGCATTGCATAGTATACGTAATGCATAATTTTTTGTTATCGCATTCTCGACAAATAATTTTTTCTCAGTCAAAAATCTTGTTATCGATATGAATTATATCTTTCATAAAGAAAATAGTGCATGGTTACTTTCTTTGTGGTAAGCTATCTTGTGACAGATAAAAAAAAAGATATTGCATGTATAAATTAGGTTTGTATTTATTTTGAAAATTTCAGCATCATTCGTAAAAGAAAAGTACTGGCTAAAGTTATGTGAATCAATCCTTTGTAAAATGTGAACACTTTATAGATCATGATTTTGATTTTACTGATCAATGAAAAGAAGTCTGCCTGCTCCTGACTTAATTTACCGCTTTCCAAACTCTATGATCTTCCTACCATTGACCTTGAGAAGTAAAGTGGTGAACGAAACACACATACAAAGAATTCCACAAAGGCGTAAGGCATATTTTTTTTGTACGCTCTAAAGACGATCAACAAAAGTCCACCTAAGTTGCCTCCAGCTCCGACTAGGCCCGAGATAGCACCGACTATCGGTGGGTTAACGAAAGGGACGATACCAAATGTGGTGCCGGCGCATGCCTGGAAAGATGATTTGTAGGTTTTGAAAATTAGTTATAAGTCAATGCGCATAAATCCCAAACACATCAAATGAGAGCAGCGGTAACATATACCAACCTGTGTAAAATAACTGAAGAAGACTAGCGTGACGAGTGCGCCGGACAGTGTGTTGCATGTATATCGAAAGACAATCAAGAAGACGCCTTCACAGCATAGGATGCAGAACTGTGTAATCATACGACCTCAGATACCCATTCGTATGTTGGCGGCATCGGATATGAAACCACCCGAAGGCTGAGAAAAGAAAGTTCAAGAGCCCATAGAGCGCGCCAACTAAACCTCTGAACGTCCAAATTGATCAACAAAGAAGAGACTAATGACGTTGTTGACGGCAAGCTCGAGTCCGAAACTACAAGAATACATGCACATGAGGATGATGATGATGTTGTGGTTCTTTAAGGCCCGTGAGGAATCATTAGGTTTTGATCGTGATGTAGGTTTCACATTCTGTTTCTCGGAATCAACACTGGTTTCGTTGTCTTGTTTTTTCTCTACTATGATTTTTTCTGAGTCTTCTCTTTTTTCATTATTAACCTTTCATTATCAACCTTTTTGGTATTTGGACCAAATGTTGAGACCAATCACCTTGCGGGCAGTTATCGGCAAAAAGAAGATTGCATATACCAACTATAACCAGAAGAATAACAGGTACAACTAATATGATACGTCACGGCTGATGAGGCGTCAGACCAAAATCGCAGAACAAATTGAATATCACAGGCAAAATCAGATATGTAATTCCTGCTCCCATGTTTCCTCATCCACCGACCAAGGCATTCGTACTTCCGACAGACGACTACTAAACATTTGTGTCGTCCAGAATCGGCAGGGAACAAAGGCAGCGCCGAGGAAGCCAATAAAGAAACGTATGATTATCAGACTGGTTGCACTCCTGCGAGTCTGGTGGGAATGGAGCCAATAATGAGTACTATGACCATGATGCATCTTGGACCCAATTGATCGCATAAGGGTCCGACAAGCATACGGAAGAGAACGGTAGTGGTGACTGAGGCTATGTTGGAGTTATTAACGTCGGTTAGACTAAGGCTGAGATCTTTTCTTATTGTTGGCATCAGTGGTGAAATAGCGAACCAGCCAGTGAAGGTGACATTAAAAGAGAGTCATGAGAAGTGAAAAGCTCGCATGTAAGGCCGTGCGAAGCTAAAGAGATTTATTCCATCATCGACGGAAATTGGGTTTGCGAATAGGTTTATCACTATGATCTCTGTGTTTTTCTTTTGTAATATGTGACTTTCTTTCGTTATGTGTCTTTTTGGCTGGCTGGTAAATTCCAAAGTCCGAGAGCAGTTCAAATCAAGCCTGGAAAAATGGGCTTTCTCTAAAATTGCAAAGTATGGAGACTTCAACATTTTTCTCAGTGGAACAGTTCCAATGAAAAATAGTGTTCATTCAAAGATAGACGCTTCAACAACCCCAGTAAATAACGATAACTCTTATCTTTTTAGGAAAACAAAAATTTCTTGTTCAGATCGGGAAACGTTCGGGTTATATTATGCCTATTATATGCATCTTTTTTTCTACGATAAGTATAGACTCATTTTTTTTGGTATCACATATGTTGTATGGTTGATCATATTTTCATGTACGACACTAATATCGTTATCAGTCACACGATTTGTCACACGTAAAAATTAAGCATATCGATATTATATCGATCGATTTAAAAATCGATTAATCATACATTTGAATTTTTTGTCCAAAGTCTTAGCCAATACGCACAAAGCTCTCTAAAACAAAATTATTGTTGACAGAGCAGTGCAAAGATCACGAAAAATTAATGTCTCCCTGTAAAGTGAAACGCCTTCGAAATTGGCGTCCATTTTGCCTATTTTTGCTAGATTTTTCTTCGGTTCACAATTCTTGCCATAAAAAATTGATTCACCAGACGCGCCCAAACAAGAACCATCTACAAAGTTTTACCTCAAGGGGTTATTACTTTACAAACATATGGAAGAAATTAGAAAAAGCTGTTTCATGATATAGTATAGATAACAGCATTTCTTTTAATTAACAAAATTTTTTTATGATTATTAGAATATATCCATTCATTCAAACATGAGTTTAAATGTATGAAAGCTTTAAAATTCCTTATCTATTTAGACAAATGCCAATTCATTCTTAGCTGGTACTTCAAGATTTAGCTGAATAAAAAAGAAGATAATATAGAAGTTATAATGATAATTGTATAGATTCTAACCTAATATTTTATGAAGCATAATTTAGATTCATCCCAAAATATATTTGCACATATCTTTTTTGATCTCTTATATTAGTTGTATCATCAATCTCAAAGCTCATTTTGATGTTCAATAATCAGTATATTGTGACAATATTCCATTAACTCATCAATAACTTCTCTGAATAATATAGTGAAGTCTTTGTATACTTCAAGCTATTTCAGGAATTATTCTTCAATTTATGTAGATTTGTATTTTATTAAATATAATATTTGAAATATAAATCCAGAAAATAAATCAATTCCAGATAATATTAATTATAAGTCTTCTTTATTGATTTTTTAACTTTCATTTAATTTTGGATTAATTTTTTAACTTCCATATTAATTAGTTTTGAAGTTTATATAGAATTATTATCTTCTAATTCTAGTCTTATTTCTGATATATTGTTACTGTAGTAATATAAAATTCTCTAATTTCATAATCTTTCTTTGGTTATGTAAAATTTCATTTTTCTATAATTTTAGAATTTATCATATAATTATTCCTATTTTTTTCAAACTATATATCTATTTCTCTTATTATATTTATCTCTTATATTCATATTCTATTCTAAATATTATAATTTATCCTCTTAATTTGAAGTCTACATTTTTGATTTATATTTTACACATATATTTAATTTAATATACTTAATAGAGTAATATAATTAAAGATCTCTTTAATCTTTTGTAAAATAATAAAATATTAATATATTAATATTTTGGTAAAATATCAAAATGCTAACATTCTGAATAATAATTATCTTTTTCTGATTTATGATTTATATAGATAAAGTTAATAAATTTTCTAAGTTTTTGGTATCAGAATAATATTTGTTAATTTTACTAGTATTAAAAGAAATTCTTGATTGTAATTATAAAGTAAAGTCTTAATAAATAAATTATTAATAAAATTATTTAATTAAGTCTAGTTATTCTTTATGAGAAATAATGTATTCAAATAGTATTTATTAATTATACTATTCTTTATCTGAGTTTTATAGTATATATTTCATTAAGATTAAAGTTAAATTAATATATTAAATAATAAATATATAATTTAATTTATAGATACTGCTCTAATATTTTTAATGAGTAAATAAAAAGTTCAAAATTATAAAGAAAATTCTGGCTAAAGAGAATTATAATGAGAGTAAAAGTATTAAAGAAATATTCTAATAGTAAAATTAGGATCTTGATATACTTTTAAATAATAATTAGTAAGTAATCTAATAAAAGAATAATAATTAGTTATAAAAACTCAAGATATAATTAGTTATCAATTATTTAGATAAATAAAAAAGAGATATAAAAAAATATAAAAGAGATTTAAATATAAAGCAAAATAATAATGAATCTATAAAAATCTTTTTTCATAGAGAGAATACTAAAAATATATTATGACAAATCTGATAAGTAAATTTTTACTTGAATTTATTTTAATAATATTGAGTTAGAAAAAACTGAATTAATTAATAAATAGAGGAAAATTAGATTATAATTTCAATATTGATAAAGATTTCTAAGATTTGTATTAATATCTATAAATATTATCTTTAAAAAAAACAAATAAATAATAAAAGAAAAATATAAATCAAGAAAATTATAAAGATTAATTAGTAAAGTTACTATCAATTAATTATAATTCAAGATTTAAAGTAATTAGATAGTAAAATTACTATTAATTAAAGAAAACTATAACTAAAGAAAAATAAAAGCTAAGATAAATGACAAACTAAATAATTAAAAATTATTTATAATAAAAATCTTCTATTTTCAAAAATAATAAAACAAATAAAACAAAAAGTATGACTTATTTAAAATAGAGTTTTTTTACTCTCAAAAATATAAAATAATATCAAAAATAAAAAAATTAATATAATATTATATTCAAATCAAAATCAACTTTATATAGTTAAAGAAATAAAATCCAGTGAAAGAAAGAATATTAGTATAATTAGAAAAGAAATTAAGAGATTACTATTATTATAATAATAAGCTTTTTAATTATATTTTTTAAATAATTCAATTCAAACTTATTTATTTCAAGTTAAAATATCAAATTCTTTTATATATTTTTTGAATATATAAATTATTATAATATTACTAGCTAATATTATTTAAATATATATACTAATATTTTAAAATATTTTAATTATAAAGATTTATAATCTATTTAATATATTAAAATACTAGTATATTAATATTTTTAGAATATTAATATTTTGATATTTTATCAGAATATTAATATTTTATCATTTTATTAGAATACTAATATTTTATTATTTTATAAAATGCTAGTATTTTATCATTTTATTAAAAATAAAAAGAATCTTCAACTATACTATTCTATTAAGTATATTAAATTAAGTATATGTAAAATATAAATTAAAAATATAAATCTTAAATTAAAAGAATAAAATATAATATTTAAGATAAAAATATGATTATAAAAATAAATATAATAAAAAAATAGATATACAATTAGATAAAAATAAAAATAATTATATGATAAATTATAAAATTATAAAAAAATAAAATTTTATATAATTAAAGAAAGATATAACAAATTTTGATTGGATTATATCTTTTTTTAGCTTAGATCTTTGTTTTATATTATCTAATAGATTAGTTTTGTATCATATTTTTAAGAAGATCAATTTCATTCTAGATCCACAGATAATTATTATGCATTTAATATATTAGATTTAGTATATTATTATATAGATGATTATCATATATATCACAATTATTAATTTAGATTATTAATATTTTTAATTATATTTATTCTTTATATTTTTACTTATTCTTATCTATTATTATTTATATTATTATTTATATCATTTATAATTATTAGATTATAATTAGTTATTCTCTAAAAATGCAAATTAAGTTAATTAATTATATTTAATAATATATATTTTAATTAGAAATTATTATTAATTTATTCACACTTTATATTTATTTTTTTTATTATAAATATAATTTATTATTTCTATATTTTTATCTCAGATCTAAATACTTTTAAATAATAAATTAAAAACTATTCATATTATATTTTATCTTGTTTATAATTATTAACAAAATCATCTTACAAAGGATTATAAAATTAGAGAATTTTATATTACTATAATAATAATAATAATATATTTATTAATATAATATTTTATAATGATTTAAGATTATAATTTATAATTTATATAATATTAAATGTTTAAAGAAATTATATATAAAATTTTTTTAAACTTTAATATTTTAAAATTTAGTAAAAAAATTAAATTTAAAATAATAAAAATTTATATAAGATTTTTATTATTATATCTTGAAATATTAAGTTTTAAAATTATATATAATAAGTATTCATTAAAAAATTTTATAATTTTTGAAGTTTAATATCTTAAAATTTAATAAAAATCAAATATTATTTAAGTTTTTAAACTAAATAATAAGCTTTATATTTAATTTTTATTATTAAATCTTAAAATATTAAGACTTAAAAAATTATATATAAAATATAAATTAATGCAAAAAGATTTATATCTTAAATAAATATTAATAAATTAATTTTTCAAAATATAATTTTAATTTTATTTTATTTAATTTTAATTAAGTTATTAAATATTAAAAAAATTTTTTTATTAATATTAACATTTTTAATTATTATTTCTTAAATATTACCATATAAACTTTAATTAAAATTAATATAAAAATTATATAGTAAATAATTTAATTATTTAACTTAAATCTTAATATCTTTATAATTACTAATTTAATTTTTATAAAATTTAAAATATATATTTATCAAATTCAAGATAATTTATTTATATAATTTAAAGTTTTAATATTATAAAATAATAGTAATAATATTTAAAATATCTTTTTTTAAAAAAATAAT